CGGGGCAATGGCCTGCTCATCCTGAGGATGGACTTCCTGTCTTCTAGACTATCTGTTATTTGATTTCAGATGTTTTGGAATTGATAGAGAATAATTTTCTACAAAAGTCTCATCTCCTAATAGTTGAGTGCTAGGTTGGAAATCCTACTTATGACCTTTTCCTGCATTAACATCCTTATGTATGTGTTCAGGCATGTATGTTGAACACACACACACATATCTAAGATGGCCTGTTCTTGCCACATATCCTGGCTCATACAAAAGCAGAATCAGATTCATTCTTTTAAAAGAATTTCAGGAAATATCTACAGTAAGGCTATATGACCACAGAAGAAAATAACAGCAATTGTTTGTATGTAAAACAAAATACCAAATTTCTCAGGGTCAGGGAGCTACTGGGTTGGTAAAATGCTTGGCGGGCAAGCATGAGGACCTGATATCAGATTCTGCTCAAGACGCTGGGCAAAGGGGACTGTGTGTGTAATCCTGTCCCTGGGTGGGAGCGTGGCCATGGCATCCCTTGGGCTTGGATGGCCAGTGAGCCTGGCTGACCTGGGGAGCTTCAGGCTCAGTGTGAGACCCTGTCTCAAAACATAGGGAGAAAGTGTTAGAAGACACTGCCTATGTCCTAAGTACGAATGGACTTAATATGTTCTAGACTTTGAGGACTTGGAGGGGGGGGTGTCATTTTTTGCCACAGGGTATTTCTGTGTACTCTGGCTGACCTGGAGATCTTCCTGCCTCTACCTCTCAAGCACTAGAACTGAAGACATATGCCACCATATCTAGCATGTGTACTTTGTTCTTTAGATACCAGTTTTAACAATGAAATGATAGGGTAAGGACATTGTTAGATGTTAAAAAAACAACAACAACAACAACAACAACAAAAAACAACACATAATTTTGAAAACTGGAAATAACAGTTGAGTGTCCCTAAATCTCAAAGAGTAACATGGCAGGAATCTGAAAACACTGAGAAACATGTTTGTTTGTTTGTTTGTTTTGCTGTGATATGCTAGCATATATCATTATTAATGAATGTATTTTGCTTTTTTAATTAAAAAATAAACATCAGTATCTAGCCTGCACACACACACACACATATACACACACACACATGCACACACTGAACAATTTCTTGGTTAAAAGATACTAATCATAAATTAATCTCAAGATTTTAAGGAAAGGAATCAAATCAGATTTACTGAATATAGATATAATTTTATTCCCAATCTAGAGAGGAGATGAAAAAGAAACAAAGTCAGGTAAAGGCAGGAGGATCTCTGTTTCAGGCTGGCTGTGGAGAGAGAGAGAGAGAACACAAAGGAGGAGGAAGAGGGAAAGGTTTTTGTGTATTCTTCCAGAATACACACACACACACACACACACACACACACACACACACACACAAAATACTTTGCCCCTACAACCTTTAGAAGTACAGGAGAAAAAGGAAGTTCACCCTGAAGTGCTGATGAGGTGAAGAGGGAAGGACTCAGGTCTCATCCTGCTTCTCTCTTTCTGTAGATTTTGTCTGTTTGATTGGTTGTTTTTTCAAGATGGGGGTTTTGTATGGGTGTGTGTGTGTGTGTGTGTGTGTGTGTGTGTGTGTGTGTGTGTGCATACCCTTGGCTGTCCTGAACTTGGTTTTTAGGCCAGGCTGACTTTGAACTAACAGAGGTCTGCCTGCCTCTGCCTCCCTGAGTGCTGGGATTAAAAGTGTGCACCACCACCCCCCCCCGCTAACTCTGTAGACTCTCTAGCCAGGAATAAGGCACTGTGTCCACACTTTCTGAATCCTACAGCACCGACTTACTCTTTAATCTCGGAGCAGGCCAGCTTTTAAGAAAACCCAGAGTCAGAAACCATATTGGAAAGACAAATACAGCCCTGGGTAAGGCTCTATTGGACTTTGCAAAGGCTATTTATTAACTAAAGAAGTGTTGTAGTCATCTGGCCCCACATTTAGATTTCCCTTGAACATGCCAGAAATGTCTGTCACTCACAGGGACACCTCCCTTAAGCTTGCATTTTCTGCTTGTGCTCCGTCTAATGTGACACCCAAGAGCTTCATGGTTGCTGAAAAGTCTGTTGTGGGAGTTACTTCCTAGCCAATTTTACTGGAAAGTACTCAGCACTGGCTGGGAGAGGGGGAGGAAATGAAGCTACTACCCGGGGTAGGTGCGATGCTGCTCCCCAAAGCAAGGGGAGAGATCACTTACAAATCTACCGGGACATGGCTTCTCCCACACAGGAACAGTGTGACGGGAGGGCGTCCTGCTTTAAGACAAGCCAAGAGCCATTTTAACAAATACACCTTCCTGGCATATAAAAAAAAAACACACACACACATACAAACAGCACACACATCAACACACACACACACACACACACACACACACTAACCAAGAGTCATACCACACAGTGCACAAATGTGTTTTTCTTTCCCCCAGATGTTCACAGAGCACAGTGGTGGTCGCGCGCTCCCCCACTGTGTCCCCAGGTACATACTCGATCTATGCTCAGACCATAAGTGGTTTTTCTACGGTTAGGAAAGAAAACTGGCCTCCAAGTAAGTAATAAAAGGTAATGAGTAGGAGGGTAGAGTTGAAGGAAGAATTTGCGTGGAGGCAAGCCAGCAAGGACATTCAGCCACGTTAACACGCAAGCTTCTCGGCTTCCCTTCTGGTTGCCTGTACTGCTGTCTCTACAAGCCAGTGCTTTCCTGGTCTTCTCAGGGTTCAGGGCTCCCTGGTGGCTGCTCTTTGACACCTCTAAGATATGAATATAAGTATAGCACTGGGGCTGCCAAGCAGCCAGTGTGTCCGTGTGTTTGACAGGCAGGAGCCCTAATCAGCTCAGAGGGGCTTTCCCTCCTACTGAAGCATTAAAAAGCAAGAACAGCTTATAGGCTGACCTCTTCCTCTCACCTCCTCGTCCTGTCTGCCATCGCTACAGTTATTGAAGAGGTGGTTTTGTGCAATGGAAAAAAGTACAATTTCCCCTAATTGTATCAGCTTTCTGGGCCCATTGTCCCATGGCTAGTTCACACACCTATGCTTGGTCAGAACATCAGATGGGAGAACGTTTTCAGATAGCCTCATACAGGCCCTCAGATCACCAGCAATTTCTCTTTTCAATAATTATAGAGATTGTCAGGTGCGGCGGCACACCCCTTTAATCCCAGCCCTCAGGAGCCAGAGACAGGTGAATCTCTGTGAGTTCAAGGCCAGCCTGGTCTACAAAGCAAGTCCAGGACAGCTAGGGCTACACAGAGAAACCTGTTTTGAAAAAAAGAAAGAGAGAAGAAAAGAAAGAAAGAAAGAAAGAAAGAAAGAGAAAGAGAGAAGAGAAAAAGAAAAAAGAGAAGAAAGAGAGAGAGAGAAAGAAAGAAAAAGAAAGTTCAGACTAGAAAATACATAGAATTGTAGGGGTGTTGGTGGGAAGAGAGTTTTTTTTATTTTTCTCTCTGAGACAGGTTCCCACTCTTTAGCCCAATCTGGATTTGAACTCACAATCCTCCTGATTCAGTCTCCCAAGTCCTATGGATTATAAGCATACTCTGTCACATCTGGAGAAATATCTTTCTGGTTCATGAAATTCAAAAAGAAAATCTTGTTTCTTTCATGACTAGAAAGTATTGAACCCTTTTGTCAGAGTGAAACAAAACACTTGAGATTTTTTTCAAGCTCTGATAAAAACCCAAATCCAAGTTTCTAAAGATTCATGAACAGTTTAATACCATAGAGGATGCAGAAAGTGTGAAAATTTTCAAACATTTCATGGCTTTGTTTTTACTGGCTGAGATTTGATTTTTGTTTTTATGAACTATAAAAGTGGTAAGAACAAAAAGCTTCTTTGCCAATTTATTTCAGATTTTTCTTTCTTTCTTTCTGAAATTGTTTCTAAACAAAGACACCATCCTGTGATGGCCCTGGGGTTTCCCCACATGGATTTTCTTGCTCAGGACGAATGGCTCAACCCATCTACATAGAAGGCACTGGAAAATATTTTTGTGATCCGAGTGCAGCCGAGCGCCTAGGAATCCAGAGGAAGTGGAGGCCTCCTGCTCCACACAGGAAACAATCTTCCAGCCGGCCTTAAATGCCAGATTCCAGGCTAGTTTAACTAACCACTGACAGCTCTGTAAACAAAGCAGGGACAGGAGCCCGCTTGCTTCCCCTTTCCTGGGAGTCATTTTGGGTTTGGGGGCTGAAGGGAAATTCTAGAATATTTGACTGGATGGCACAGATACACAGGGGAACCAGGCTCAGCTTTTGAAGGGCTGAATTCTTCCCAGAATCAAAGTCATCTCGAGGAGGTAGGAAAGGGTAAAATGGTTGGGTTATATCTGGAGAGAGCCGGGATTTTTGAGCTCTGAAGACAGCTGGATCACAACTTAGCTGCCTTCTAAAATGCTACTTCCTGGAGATATTTTTTTTCTCCCATGATTTCTGCATACTTAAAAAAAAAAAGTGCTAACTAACTTTCAGAATATGAAATGATGCCTGTATGCAGCATTGTTTGAGTTCTCTTTTGCTTTGTCTACACCCCACAGATTTCTTTTCTTGCCAGTTTTCTTCCCTTTTTAGTTTCCCCTCCTGCTTTTCTCTTTGTTCATGTTTGTGTGTTGCCTGGAGTTCAGCAGGTGAGAAAAGGACAAGTTCATTCAGTAGTTCTGAAGTCCTTCCATCAACATTTCTGTCTCCTGGGATTCCTGCCTGCTTTTTAATGTAATCTTGGGCTCTCAGTTATTTTTGAGAATGAAGGTGAACTCTGCTTTAGGACAGAAATTGACCACTGACTGACTTACTAGTGTTCTAAGGTATTTTTCTCAAAAGAAAGAAAGAAAGAAAGAAAGAAAGGAAGGAAGGAAGGAAGGAAGGAAGGAAGGAAGGAAGGAAGAAAGAAAGAAAAGATGGGTAGAATGGGGAAGGACTGAATGAGGGGCTCATGACACTGGTGATCCTGACTCTACCTCTTGCTTTTACATCCAGGTATTATCTGGGCCCCCAAACCTAAAACCTCACGATGGATGATTTTGAACGGCGCAGAGAACTCAGGAGGCAAAAGCGGGAGGAGATGCGGCTGGAAGCGGAGAGGTAAGGGTCCAGACTGGCAGAAATAAGCACTGTCAGCACTGCTGTTTTCCAGCCATAGTGACTGTCTCCTCTGGAGGGCCTGATATGGCCATATTTTACATCTTTGTAAAAATAGTTATGGCTTTAAAGTATTTTTCCTGTTCAAAGCCTAAATTTTGCATTAAAAAAAAAAAGAAATTTCAAGAAAAAGGGAGATTGGAGAAGAATCAAATAATTGTATTTTTTAAAAAAAACCAAGGCTATGCATTGTAGAATTTGTTGTGGTAAAAGGTAATGCATGAAAGGCATAACATTGCTAATAATAGTGACATGACAGAAAGTGCTGGGTGTTGACTATTGGAAGCAGTTTAGCAAGCCCCAGATGAATCTCTTTCAGATTTTATTCTTATTAGAGAAGCATCCGCGCCTGGTCATCTGCATCAGGAGGGGTAGTACCGATGGCCCGAGGTACTGGGGGAGGGCGTGGGTGTGTTGGAAACTATCATAATGTGTGCGGCCTTTGAGGTGGAGATTTAGAGAGCAGGTTGGAGACATACAGCACTGATGTGGCACAGAGTCGTGTATCCCAGTGGCGCCTAATGTGGCTTAGCTCTATTGCTGAAGGAAAGCACAGCAAGCATTCACAGGGAGAAAACTGTTCCGTGGCTTTGTACGCCCGTAATTCCAGTTCACGGATACAAACTGTGGGGGCGGGGGGTGGGGGTGGAGGACAGAGTACAAGTGACGCCACCACTGTCCTGCAGTACAAAACTGAAACTATAAACCTGTAACAAAAAGTACCAGAGGATCATACCCTACTGTTCTGCTCCTGTGTGAAGAGTCCGAAAGACAGTGCAAAGTCTGGCCTTGGATGAACTTGGCTATTGGTGGGATGTCTACACAGGTACTCATCGCACTATAGACTAAGGATCACACCATGGCTCTGCCACTTAGGACTCATGTGGCTCTGAGCAAGGGACCGCTCTCTAAGTCACAGTTATCCTATATAAAACCAGCAAAATAGCTACACAGCTCCTGCGGTTGCCATGAAGATTGTGAGGCTTCATAAGTGACCTTACCCTGTAGCTGACACCTAGAAGGAATAACTAATAGCTATCATCATCATTATTAATGATATTCTTAACTATCAGCCCTGGTTAATCAATAAACAACAGGTCTCTAGCTATAACTAAATATCAATGCCAAGACTAGGGAAGCCAACCGTCACCCCGAGATGAAAGCAGTCACAGGAAAGTTTTGCAGAGAGAGGAAAGCCGTGGAAGAGGTGACGGTGGTGAGGAGGAAACTGAGGGCTGTCTGAAAAGGAAGAGGGCACACGGTAAAAGGAGGGAGGAGAGTGACAGGGACTGTGTCCCACACGCAAGATGTATCTATCCAAATTTAAAATAATAATTAATAAACCAAAATTCGAAGCACACAAAACTAAGGATATAGCCAAAGGACCAGTGGTTGCCAGGAGGGAGGGAGGAGCACAAAGGTGGAGCATGGTATTTTAAACCAGCAAAACCATCTGTGCCACAGCGTGATGGCAGACGAGTGTCAGTGTGCTTGAACTTAGTGGAATCAGGGTGGAATGACCTAAGAATGTAAGTTTGTCATCCAATGTGACAAAGACAACACTGTGCATGTGATGTTGATAATGGCAGAGGCTGTGCATGAGGAGGGACAAGGAAAATACAGCAACTTTGTTATTTCCACTTAACTTTTCTGTGAACCTAAAATTACCATGAGAAATACAGTTTATCAATAGAAAAAAATGAGGCGGGGCAGGGGAGGCAGAGTAGGCGAGAAAACGAGGCAAGCAGAGCTCCGGGGAAAGGTTCTGCAGGGATGCTGTGGGGAGCTTGAGAGAAAGGTCTTGGGCATCTTAGAACCCTCGCGGGGGGGGGGGGCTGCGTGGGATGGGAGTACGGTGGTAAGCGCTGGGAACAGTGGACTGAGATACAGGGATGCCCGGAGAGTTGGTACCAAGCATGGGGTCGTGAGAGTCTGAATCAGAGCAGTGAGTGGGAAGAAGGAGATCCTGTGTCATTTGGCAAACCTGTCAGGGGAGGGTAAACTCAGAGAAAGTCTGAAGACCCTAAGTTCCAGTTTGGAATGACAGTAGAGTAAATTAGCCTGATATAGAGCGGCTCCCAGGGTCAGGGCTACAGGTGCACCCATCTGTTCTCAATACATCCTTATCAGGCATTGCCAAGAAAGGCCTCTGTCTGGTCCCCAGTGCGGGAAGGTGAGGCGGCTCCATTCTTGGTGTCCACGGTAATGGTGTTGAATTTCAGGTAGAAACCGCATCAACATGGGGCTTTTCTCCAGATGCTTAGAGATAGGAAATTTAGATTTTTATTTAGAAAGAAGAGAACATTTTATAAGGTCCACGGGGACAAACCCACTGTGTGGCTGAAGTCATAGCCCCCAAAGCCAATATGAAAGAGTAAGAGGTCATAAAGGCATAGTGGAAACGATCACAGAAAGCAAAATAGCAGAGAGATGGAGGAGACCTGGGGAGGGATTAGACCTGAAATTGAGTGGACAATAAAGGTGTGCGGGCCCTGTCCAGACACGAGGAGCACACCTCTCACTCCACCTGATGCAGTGCTACCAGCCTTGGGTTCTCCCAGGTTCTTGGGCCCTCTCTTCACCCAACGCATGCTGCAGTGTCTGAACAGAGATGGGAGAAAAGATGCTGGTCAACAGGTAGGGACTTCTGTATGCCAGAGCCTGGTAGAAAACAGAAAACAAACAAGCAGAGAAGCAGCCTAAGGAAAGCTAGGGATAGGAGCCCTCGGGACAAAAGAGCAGAAATTAAGCATCGCAGTAGATGCAGGTCTTCAGTGTCTTGGCTCACCTCGTGGATAGGCAGTGAGGGACTGATGGGAAGAGCGAGACAGGCATCTCATACTTGTATAAGCCAGACTGTGACTTCCAGTGAATAAGCCTAGTTTTCTCCTAGCCAGAATTTTACCTCAGAATTGATCACATAGCTGCTTCATTCATTCTTTCCAGGGTGGTGGTAATGTTGTGTGAACAAAGATTTATCTTCTGTTAGTGGCTGTTGTAAAAAGCCTGTACACTAAAGCTTAATTCAGTTCCCTTTAGTAACCTACAACAAATATATACAGATGTATCCAAATGCTGTTTAACCATTGGTTCTGTCTGCATTTCAGCTTGGGCTACACTATGTCCTCATGTTTATACTGAATTTACCTGTTCGTGTTTTGAGGTGCACATTGAAATTAGGTCAATCCTTTCAGCATTTGGTAAAATCTGATCATTTATAGCAACAGTGAAAGTTGGGCTTTACAGTTCGACTAGCTTTCATTGGCAAGTTCAGGGTGTGTCCAGGAAACAGCTGGCCAAACCAGGAATCAAAGGCTATCTAAAATCATAGTTGAGATCTGAGGACAAAGGGCATGTGAGACCCTAGGCAAGTCCCTTCCTCTTCCTTTAACTCTAGCCCTTGGCTTCCTCTTGCCACAGGAATGGGTGTTTTCTCGGGGGAATTAGAGGCCATTTCCTCTTGCTTTTAGTATTGTCTACTTCTGTTTTCAATAGGTCAGATATTGCTTGATTTGAAATTAAATAAGTAATGTGGAATCTTACATTTAAAAAAAAAAAAAAGGAATTCTAAGGCCCTATGGAATACACCTAGGGCCAGGCTGGGAAGATTTGACTTTCCGCTGTATATGGAGAACAAAAGGAATTCATCTCAGATTTTGAATGGCAGTAGAATAAGTTGGCCTAAAACAGAGTTGTTCCAAAGGGCAGAGCTGCAGATGCACCCATCTGTCCTCAACACATTTTGTCGTCATCTCTTTTGCTCTAAGCTCTGTTGGGGACACTGAGGGGAGGATGGACAGCAGAATGCAGACCTAGGAAGCATGTGGTCATGCTTTCCAATCTCTGTAAAACCAAACGATGACCAGAACACTTATAACCCCAAACATAGAATGTACCTCATACTGATCTGTTCACTTAAAATAGCATACAGCCTTTTTATACTTCACCTCTGAACTCCTGTAGAGACAGTAACAAGAGTCTATTGTTTTTCCTCACCCACTAAGACTTTCCACACAAAATATCTTCTTGTTTCAGTTCGATCTTACTGACTTTGGTTAGAAGATATAATTCTGATTTTAAGTGTTAAATAATTAAAAACTTGTATTCCTATTGAATGTCATGACCACAAGTTAAACTAAGCCAGATTCCTGGGCACTTTATTCCTCAGGAAGAGAGTTTTAAAGTGATCGTTTTACAAGCCAGCTGCAAGGCTGGACAGATGGCAAGCGCTCGTGGCTTGATCATGGAGACTGGAGTTTCGTTCCCAGCACCCATGTCAAGCAGGTTACCAAAACTTGTAGCTCCAGTACCAAGGGACCTGACGCCTTCGTCTGGCCTCTGTGGTACCCACACATACACATGCACATACCCCCGTGCAGAGATATGCACACACACACAAATAAAATAAAATGTAAATAAACGAAAAGATGACTGCGCACTTCATGCCACAGTGTCTTTCCTCCAGATGGACTGGAGTGCCCTCCCCATGCCCGGGGCTCTGAGACTCTGCCACACACATACACCTTTGCTCTACTACAGCTTCCCTGTAACCTGGGCTCTAAGCTGAGCTCATCAGAAACAGTCTTCTCTCCCTATCACCTGTGACTCTGTGAAGCCCTTTTTGCTGGTGGCATGGTTCTTGTCCTTCCCTTGTCTTTCTCACTCTAACTTTTCATGACAATGCCTTTAGATTTGCTAAAAAAGAGACACCTCATTAAGTATATAGGCCTGGGAGGCTCCAGCAAGAACATTCATGAGTTCAAGGCCAGTTTGGGCAACTAAGTAAGATCCAGCTTCAAAATAAAAGCAAAAAGAGGACTGGGTATGTTCCTCAGGGGTAAAATACTTGACCAGCATACTCAAGGCTCTAGGTTCAATCCTCAGCACCGTAAAAATAGATAGATAGATAGATAGATAGATAGATAGATAGATAGATAGATATG